TGTGGGAGGCATCAGGTCCAGGCTCCTCGCCCTAATGTTGCTGGCGCGGCCCAGGGCAACAAGGGTCGGGGGGCATTAAAGGATGCTGACTCTATCTTGAAGTTGAGGGAATCAGGGTGCTGCAAAATCGGTGTCATTTAGTTCAGAACACTGAGCTAGAAACAAAAACAAAATTGAAGAGCTGGAGCTGAGAGGCGTTGCTGGCAGGCGTCTGGGTCGCATGCCCCCTCTGATGGTTGCGAAGAGGATTTTCGTCGTGTGCAGATCGCCGGCGGGAATCAGCTGCAGCATTTCGAAAGATGACATTCTAGAACGTCGAGATGTGCAGGTGCTCTTGCTGGCCGAGGGATGGTCGTCTGCTGATTGTTGGATTGTGTCCACCTTAGTCCGTCGTCTTCGCAAATTGGATGGGGTCGGAGATGTTGAAGTGGCCCGGGCAGAGAAGCTCAGAATGGCAGCGACGGCATGAGCAGGAACTCTACTTTGTGGTAGCGACAGATGGTAGCGACTCCACGATCGAGTGGCAGCGACTCCACCCAGCAGGGACCTTGAGAGATGGCACCGACCGTACAGTCTCGACGGATGGTAGCGACAGGTAGCAGCGACTCCGGTGGTAGTGACTCCACCCAGCAGGGACCTTGAGAGATGGCAGCGACCGGACAGTCCCGACGGATGGCAGCGACAGATGGCAGTGACTCCACTAACTAGATGGTAGTCACTCCCCAGCAAATACGTCCGCTGCCTGCGCCCACAGGTTGCGGTCAACATGACAGAAATCCTCATCCTTTTTCGCGAGTGCCATCCACTGAGCACTCCGTTCCTTCACAACTACCAAATCACTCGGTAATGAAACGCTTCAAGTGTCGCAAGTATGAAAACTACGCTAGCTGTTTCCGACCATCTTTCTTTTTCGCAGCGTTACTGTTGCTTTCGTGATGTCTTTGAATTCAGCTCCCGCTTTCGACCGTCGCATCTTCCCAGTAAGCCACACATGCTTCGCAACTAATCAGCTTTGGACCATGCTGATTTCTCTCTCCATACGTACTTGTCCCTTGCCTCTGGTAAATTTCTCCTTCAGCTTATGTCCTAAAAGACCTGCCGCACTATATCGCCAGGGTAGCGCGCCTTCTCGTTCTTATTCAACTCCCCGCCCCTCGACGGCTCTCCGACGAACGAGTTGGGGCGTAAGATGTGCACCCGATTGTTGGCATACTCGAATGTTACGAAAGAAAAGTTTAAACCTCCGATAGCCGGCTTTCGTCCGCTAGAATTAGCCTGTGTCGCTTCGGCAAAATGTCACGTCGTTTAGGAGAAGCCCGGCAGGAATCTGAATCGGGATACAGATCCGGTTCAAGAAAGTAAAAAGCCTTATCAACTTGTCTGCGAATAAGCCCGTTCAAATCACGGAGCTCTGGCCCCAGCCCCTGGCCCGACTCTCCTGGACATGGATGTCTGACTGCAGGCTCATCCACCTGGTATTTCTCAGCTTGTCGGCCTCACAGGCCCTCTTCTCGTTCCTGGGACTCTTTCAATCATTGATTGGGTTGTCTCCCGCCCCTTTTGGCGCATATTTGCGGGCCGCTGCGGGCTTATGTCAGAGGCCCTGTTGTTCGTTCGCCGAGGTCCCCTTCATCAAGCTCGCTCACAGCCATCCGCGGCCTACTAATGGCCACTCCCAGCATCCGCTCGATTGTCGTACCCCTGAAATCTCCCCAGAAGCTCCTTGCCTCTGACCATGTAGCTGTAGAAGCACACCAACGTCTACACGAAAAGCTCGTACCCAGAGCCGCAGCCCTTCCTACTTGTTTGCCTCAATTCATCTCTCCAGAAGCTCTGTGTCTATGCCATCGTCCTCGGCCGCCCTTACATCCTCACCCTGTCTGCTCTTGTTCCTCAGCCAAAACGGGGTCAATCAGCACGTCTCAAAGTCGGATCTTGGGACGATCGAAACCCAAGTGGACATGCTGCGGTTGAGCTTGTGGTCATTGTGCTACCTCGAGCTGAGCTATCGGCAGAAGCGATGGACTTATTGCTCAGGAACGTGGTCTATCGGCAGCGGTTTTGTCGCAAATCATCTTCTGCATCACGCTCTCGAAAGGAACATTCGAAGTCTTCAATAGACGTGAAAGCGTTGTTGTTATCCAGCGAGGGTTAGTTTCCATCCCCCCTCGTCACGGATTATCTCAGTCTCGGGGCATCTATGACGACGCCTGGAAGAATCTTGGAAGAAGCCTCGGGTGGAACACTTCCTCTCGAGGTCGTGAGCGAAAGTAGGATTTCCGGTCTGGTCCTAGCTCAAGTTGACAGGGCGGAGATTGCGGCAGTCGTTATGCTCGAAAAGCTTCACGCATTCAGCCACACGTGAAGTAGCTGCCACACACAGGGATAAACTGCCATCCCAGCGTTGGATGGGGCAGATTTCTTGGTTCTCTTTCGGGCCAGGGCCATTGGAGCCCTGTTCACGAGAGTAAAAGCGTGCCATAGATGGACTTAAAATGGGAACCTGTAGCAGAACGTATTGCTTTGCGAAAGTTGGTTGGCAGTGAGAACCTTGGCGACTACGTGCAGAGGATGTCTTGATGGGGAACTTGGATGAGCAGTCCCCGGCAGAAGATGGTGCAAAATGTGGGCAATACTGCCGGGAAACGTGCGCGGAAAGACGAAGACCTTGTGGCCAGAACGCTTCAAGGATCTTGACAGTCCTTCTCCGGTGCATCGTCTGATAGAGACAGCATGATGCCGTGTGTGTTCCATGCTCGATACCGCCGAGACACAGAGTCCTTCGGATCGTCAAACTGGTGGTCGTCTCAGAAAACCGCCGTCTTCTTTCCAATTGTCTGATAGGACCCTAAATGAATGCGGCAAGGGATCGAAGTAAGGGTTTCTGTCTGCGGACGTCTAGAGGTGTTCAAGCAGCGAGGCATCTCTGGTTGGTGTTCGAATGTAATGAAGAGAGTAGCCGATGTTAAGTAGGCTTTTGTGCTTGACACCAGAAACGGGAGATGGGGTGCTTTATCTCTTATGCAAACTGGAGATGAATACGGAGCAGCTTCCAGAGAGACGGGCGGGCCTGGACTCATGTATGCGGATAACAGCAAACAATGCATCACACGGAGAGGGTCGCAGTTTCTTGATGTTTCGACAGCCAAAGTGAGTGACTGACAGAGGTCTTGAGAGTTGCAGTTGTGGTATTGGATAAGTCGGACGGGAGAGGTGCACCCAAGATGATGAAGCCACTGTCAGCAGGGAGAAAAGAAGACAGTGCAAAGAAACTGCCTCGCGTAATGAAGAGGAGGCAGGAGACAGGCAGCAGGCGCAATCCGGCCGAACCGACCGCTTACTTGAGGATTCTGTTCGTCTTCTTCGGTGAGTGCCATGTCTTTCGGTTTAGTCCGCCGCACAGAATAACGACTTTTTATCTCACTTAATCACCTCTCAAGTTGGATTGGAGCAGCGTTCTCAAAGAATGATCGAAACAGGCTCTGTCCTGGTCTTCTTAATCATCTCGAAGATGAGACGTGACGCCCCTAGGTCAACGGCCCCACGAGTACCTGACCTCAACATGGCCGTCCGAAAGCTTCCTGCGTCACAGCTCTGGGACATACTCTTCTCAAGACAGACGAAGACCCAGGGACTGGCGGCCTGGTACTGGCTTCAGATTAGTGGTATCCTCAGCAATTGACTGTGCTGATCTTCAAGGAATTTCTAACTCTCGACCAGCCCCAACACGAGCCAGAACGAGGGCCACCGGGGGTTTAAGGTTCAAGGCCCGCCTTCAATCACTTGGATCTCCGATTCGTGGGCCACCGTGAGATTGGCCTGAGCAGGCGAACGTGAGTTCACGAGTATTTCGAGACCGCTTCTCCCCATTTCACCACTTCAAGAAGCCATCACGGAATCGCTCGTCGCTGAGCATTGGTGCTTCTGTGATCAGCGCTTGACCCATAAAGGAAGCCCTGGGGCTTTCGGAGCAGAGGACACCATAGAGTTGTACTGCTAGTTGTGTCTCAGAGATATGAGATAGCTGCAAGATACCGGGCGAGATGCCGTCAATCATGCTGGGGAAGGACCGTCGTGGTACGTGTTTCCCAACGAAGATGGTCGACCATGCAGGTAGTCGTGGATAGAGCATGGTGGCAGTGGTAGTCACATTTTCCGAACGGAGAGACCGGAACAAGATGACTCCGTCAACGAGAGGGTCGTTGGGAGACGATTGAGCTGCTTGATGTTAGTCTTGCTCTGCACAATGACGCGACAGACATCCCATTCGACTGCGGAACGCCATAGACTCTTGCAGAGGGATATGCTACCGGCGATGACAGAGACCCTAAGGGTCCTGTGCGTCTGATGTGCTGGGAGGCCGGATTGATGGTACTTGGGATCATGCTGCAACTCGTCGGTGAGAAGGTCCCCGGAAGTGATTCAAGCTGCTCGCGCTGGAAGTTGGCGTGGCAGTCTGTGGGAGACACTTGCGGTCGTCGACAGTGGAATGCATCAATTCGGGTATATTTGGCATACCGCAAGTCTCGGAGAAGAGCGAGGTGGCTTGAACAAACATTTTAGCTGATGCCGTGTTCGCACATGGCTTGGTACCTGGCGAAAGTCAGAATGATAAAGGGAACGAATGCCTAGTATTCGGGATGCCTGTCAGCAAGAAAGTCTCAGTGATCCACACAGGAAATGCTTGTCTGTTCAACGGAAGGAAAGCACAAAAAGGGGTCGTGGTTGACAAAAGGAGAACATAGAGTGGTGAGTTGGGTCAGTCATCCTATGATCAACTGCATCCTTCCCCGTTGAAGAGTGGCCTTGCTCTTTCCCGAACCGTCGAAATCTCCTCCCTGAGAGGGAAGCTACAGTGCCCAAGTCACTAACTGTCCGACTGGCCTCCATCGGGTGTGACATTTCCTTCCGGTCTGACGTCTCAGAATCGAATTATCAGCTTCATACCCAACATTCATCCATGCAGAAGCTCAACTACGTGCGGCCATCCATCAGCCAGAATGGCATCTGTATTCCCCGATCAGTTCGCCACGGTTTCCACCACTAACCAGGCCGCGTTCACGATAAATGCAGGCCGCCACTTACCCCGCCATGCAGCGCATCAACTTGTCAGCTCTATGACACGAACGGTCGACGCCAAAATTGCCCTCGCTGAGTCCACCCGATTGGACGAACTCATATCAGACCTTCGTCCATCGGACCGAATTGTCATTGTTGCCGGCACTACTTTCTACATAGACGGGTGGCTGCTCATGGACGTTAACCTAGGCGTTTGGACGATCAACTACTTCGTCGACTACATACCCTCCAACGACGCAGACCCGCGCCCTGCGATACAAAACGCCAAACTGATTTTTGCTATGTTAGGCGACAACACCGAGACTTTGACCATTCATCTGAATCGCATGACAGACCGTACCTACGCCGCTATATGGATGCAACCAGCACGCGGTCTGGATTTGTGCCCAGGATGTCGAGCCTGCTCGGTCGGATATGACAGTGCCGTGGGTCGACACCCTTGGATGACCACATTGGCGCTCTGCCTTGAACAATTGAATGAGTTGACGCTTGAAGAACATGTCGCCTTTTCGAAACTACGGGACCTGTTCTGCTGGCAACTATTGACAAGCGTCTACGACGCGCCATACGAAATCCTCCAGACCACAAACAGAACCCGAACACTCCAGTCCAGATTGAAGTCCCTCCGCAACTGGCGTCAATACAACATGAGGCTGCGAAAACTTTTGCACTACCGATTTTCTGTCCGCGCGCTATCCATCACCACGGCCATTCTATGCCAACAATCACAAAGCCCACTTGATCCAACTAACGATAATCTTCAGCATTCCTTGGAGGATCATATTGAGGATGATGTGTCTCTCCGAGATGCACTTGGAAAGGAAGACAAATGGTTGGAGGGCCTGTACCCATATGTTGCTGCGATTATAAGTCGACTTGTTCTGCGCTATGCTGTAAAATCATTCTTGACAGAGCACCGTTTGTTGAGGGGTTATTAAGTGTTAGGCATTGTATAGAGGATTTCGTTTCGGAGTGGAATGCCTAAGTCTGAAGGTGTTGGAAATGGTGTTTGCTAAGGACGCACAGCTTTGGAACTTCTTTGATGAAACTTCTACCTATTGACTCAGTGACTCTTTGTCGTCACGCTTGTGTAGCGTGAAATATGCCACACAGAGAAAACCAGCGGGCCGGGGTCTCCTAGGGTGGGATCCAGCCGATCTTTCGGAGAAAGGTGAAGGTGGTGCACTGAGCGAGCCGCTCGCCTTGAGTTTAGCAGTCTTTCAGGCGCATCAGGATGCTTCATCGGAGATGTCTCCAGACAGGAGTCCTGGATATGGGCTCATCGAGAAGCGATCAGAGAATCGTGGCATCTTGTCTCAAGCAGGGTTGAGCTACCAAGGAGGTAGTGCTAGCGACCATTGCCCAATACCAGGGACTGTTATTCCATGCGAAGAATGCTTGTAGTGGCATGCAATTGGCCAATGTCCCCGACCTTGTCATGTGCTTCTCGAAAAGTTGCGATCAGAGGTATGACTTGTAACTTGCCGAAGAGCTCATTCATCAAACGCATCGCCGGAAGATTGTCACCGAACTTACCCAAAGCCAAAACATATCAAGGCAGAAACCAAAAATAAATGCTTTTACTGTCTCTGATATTCCTGACATGCTGGTCAAGAAGCTGGAGAAAAAGCCTGACGTAAAGAGAAGGCTGCTGTAGCAGGCAAAGAAGGTAGCTCGTTCGCCTCAATAATGGTGCTCAGGCAGAGCACGTTCGCCCGGAGCGAAACTAGGCTCATCAGCAGATCTTGAGGCTGAGTAGGTGCGAGAGATACATTTAATCCGTAGATGATGTGCTGCTGCTATGGTAACCTGAGGACTGCTACAAAGAGGCTGATGATGCGGCCCGCTCCCATCGAGGAATGAGATTTGGAAATGCCAATCAACACAGCAGCCTTTTATTACGGCCAGTGTTGAAGAATGTTACTCTTCGATGTGTTTCTTGAGCTGCGGTGAGTTTGGGGGGAGGGAGGTCCCAAAGGATCTGATGAACGCTTGATTCCAGTACCGGCCACGCCGCATGGCACAATGGATTCGGTGACTGCATCGTGGAGCGCTTTTTTGGTGACTCGGAAGCACCAATTCGGCGTTGTAAGACTCTAGCTATTGAGTGATGAGAGTTTGCAAGGTAGAATGTAGCTGTTGAACTTACGGCAGAGCTTATACGCAGAATGGGTGTTTATTTCACAAAAGGTTCCGATGCATCACCCCGTCTCAAAGCCAGCGAGTCCAAAGCCACCCCGCTGAATTCGTTTGGAATAAGACACTCATCTCATTATGAAAAGAGTCGACGGGTCCACGTTTCCCATTCCCTTGCGGACGAGCCGCATCCCGCAAAATCAGCGTCTTCCGCTCGGAATCGCCAAGGCGCCTGGTCCCAATCAAAACGTCCCATCGGGACCGGAAGAAAGTGTTAAGACTTCGTCGAGGCCTTCCACAAAACCAAAGCATTCGTCATTGCTCCTGTTTGAGAAAGCTCTCGGTCCTCAATATCGACGGTGGGTTGCCGAGCCACCCGAGTCAATCTCGCCAGCGTTTCATACCAAATAGCCAGCGACACTTCCATCACGAGCAAAGAAGTAGCCCTTCGCAAATGTATGAGCGACACGACCGATACAGAGCCTCGAAAATGATAAGCAAGGTCAGAACAGAAATTCCGCTGTCCTGGAAGATGCACACATAATGTCGGCCATATTATTGGCGCTGCGATTTGCAGAGAGACAAAGCATTGTAATCTTGCCATCTCCGATATCCCTGCACTACGTCTGCCGCGAAGCTCACTGAAGCTTTTCGCCTCGCTTCTAAGATGTAGTTCGGCGGTATGATTCCTCCGCTGAAAAAGGCCCTGAGGTAACGCTGGCTACCTGGCGAGGAGTCTTCCTAGACATGACTGAGAGATGTCTTCCGGTGCAGCGGAGCCATACGCTGAAAGGCCTGGCAGGGTGCTTGCGGGCGACCCTCTGAATATTGTGGACGACGCGGACAGAATCTGATTTATGATCCAGCAAGGTGAGGTATGATCGATGCAAGCAGATGGCTTCGGTATGGATGCGAAATTCTTGAGAATAAAGTCAGGAAGTTGATGCCGTCAGGATTTCCAAGGCGTTGAATTAGGGACAAAACTCTGAGTAAGCAAAGAAGAACTCGCCCACTTTCCCGAGATGGTGTCATTCTCTGCAATCAAGTTTGAGTCCCAAGGACAGCGGCAGCAGCTGGCTGACCGTTGACCTTATGTGTTGTCAACAGCAGGAACCGAAAGCCATCGTCGAGACAAAGACTATGCACGAGGTTGGGTTTGCAATGTATGTACAATGGGACACGGTCTTAGTTGTAATCTGGCATGTGCTTCGAGTCAAGATTGAATCGGAAAAGAAGACTCAAGCTTCTTCGTTCGTTGCTCCCTTTACTCCATTCCAGCTTGGAAACGCGGGCTGCAGGACGTGCAGTAGCATGTCGTAGGCTGCCGCAATTGTTGCAAAGTAGGCTTCGAAGCGTTTTGTCGGCAAATTCGTGGTCATCCTAGCTTTGTCGCAGCTCTAGGTGGAAGACTTGTCAATGAGAGAAGGTTGGGCGATGAACAAACAAGCGGAACGAAGGTCGGCTGTGCATGAATAGGTGTACGCCTGTCTTGGGTAACTTTGCCAGCAAGAGAACATCGACTGGGACGCTGCCGAAACATCGCTGATCGTGTTCGATCCGCAGAGAAGAAGAGTCGAGTGGAGAACCATCGCAGTTGGTTTCAGATTCAAAGGTTGGCAAGGACCTCCTTCTCTGGATTTTTTCCCCGTCATTCTCATTCTGTTTCAACTTCCTCATGCTCATAGACCAACCCAGTCAGGCGACCTGTACCAATCCTTGGGAAACAGCTCCTCAGCGTCCAGCCCGAAATCGAGCGGGCCGTTTCGTCTGTTCCCTCTCGCATGCCCATTAGCCCGAAGGGAGTCCCACTCTCCATGTCGGGCCGGGCCTCGATGCTGCTGCCGGCTTGGTCGTGCAGCACGACACAGCTCGCGGATAAAATAACGCTGAGCAACCTGCAGAAGTTGCCCATCCAGATGTACTCCATGTTGCCGAAATTGTAGTTGCCGTTGGGAGTGGGTGAGCTCCTTGAAGATGATGGGCCTCGTGTCGACCAACCTTTTCGACTGCGATACTCCAAAAGACCTATGCTGGAAATCAGATACTTCCAATTCTTCTGTGATAAGAGTTGTAGAGGGTGTCTTGCGATGAGGTCAAATCTTGGAACGATTCTGCCGCGCTGGAGGGGTTCAGTTTCCTGCGTTGTGCTAAAGGCACGAAGTCTAGGATGCCGCATAGACGGAAGAGTTTTGCGATAGACGTGGGACAACACGGCAGAATGCCGCCGAAAGAGTTGTCGAAGTCTGTGGACATGATGCTGGCAGCCATGAATGAAAATGTCGCGGAAGCCGCAAGCAGTGACGAACTTAGTCATCTAGCGAATGTAGGACAAAAGCATGGGGCTGGCAGTTCTGCTGTGAGAACGGAAAGCTGTGGCCGAGGAGCTATGTCGAGAGTTTAGGAGAGGGACTGGCAGAACCACGCAGACTAACCCAAGGGCAGCTTCTCCCGCTGGCGCAGGAACATAGCGGCCACTGCGAATGGAGGCCTCGACAATGATAGTGACAATTGCCCCGGGCAATTACCGGCTCTCGTGGTGACGAAGTACATGGTGGTGCTGGAACAAATTTTGGAGAAGTTCGGTCGTCTTCATTGTCGTAGGGGCTTAAAATTTCGGTAAATGCAAGCGAGAGACACTTGGGAAGTCGGGGTTGGTGCTTCTCAAGGACGCAGGCATGCTGACGAAGTGTAAGGCATGCGCTCTGAAAAAGATGCCAATCTCATTGGAGATGCATTCAGCGGCATGACGGGGTGTGTGAGCCGCAAGCTGTGCGGGATCAGGGTCGTATTCTGAGGTGGGGTTGGAAGGTTGGAAGACCTGCACGATGACAGAAGATGGCGAAGCACAGACGCGAAGGATGCGAGACCAGTGGACAAGACAGCAGCAGACTAGAAAGCGGAGGCGCTAGCATGACCCAGGAAAAATAGAAGCAAAGAGGGTTGATGAGACAAGTTGGATGGACCAACGACGGAGAATAGTGGAGGATGGCGAGGAAATGAGAGACGAAGATGGTAGACATACGTGATAGCAGCATGTGCTGCTTGATGCTTTGGTTCAGCTTTGGTTCCAGGTGAAAAAGACAAAGCGCCTGCTTCGCGGTGTCTGTATGCGCGGTCGTGAGGTATCGCCGTTCATGACGTCGATATCGTCGCTTGTCCACCTGCGGTGGGGGTCAAAGATTGAGGTGATGGACGATAGATGCTGGAAAGCATCGGAAGATAGAAAAGATGGAGGGGAGGAAGTTTCCCGGGAGAGAAGACACTGTCTCGACGGGCGGTTGGACTGGGACCAAAAGGTAGGTGTCTCAAGGTGCCTACCTTGGAGGAAGGAAGGACCTTCCAGGTTACCTTCCGCGGTAGAACGAAGCGAGTTCCCCGTTGACGTCAACGGCCAACCCGGGCCGTCCAGGTTCGCAAGCATTACGTCACTCGGTACTTCTGCTCCCAATTTTCAGGAGGCGCTCTTCCCAGCCTCACTGTCCCAAGAGGCTTGTTTTTTAGGTCGTCTTGCGTCCGAATCATCACACGTCAATGTAAGGTATCGGTAAGATCCTCCCGACCGTAGTCCCCACCAAGGGTCGGGCCGGGCCGCTAGCTGATGCTACCCTAAAAGTCCAAGGAATTGGACAACCTGGAAGGCAACGGGCCTAGAAAGACACTAACGCCAAGGTTGACTACTGAGGTTGAGTATCAAGGGACTACACCGAGCAGTTGGTTTGGGGACTCAAGGTGAAAGGAGGCAGTGGCTTAATCCAACTGACTTTGAATATCCGCTGGAGGTGATTGGCTTCTGCGCAAGCCACATCAGACCACTGCTAGATAAAGTTCCCACCCCAGTAGTAGCTTTCTGGGGGCTGAGGTACGTGCCCAGTTGCCTCCCAGGTGGGATTTTCCACCTATAAAGCTACCTAATCACTCACAGTCAGTAGGTATCATGCGACAGAATGTCAGAAGTGGCCCGCACTCCAGTTCAGACTTCTGTTGATGAAGAACTCCAGGTTCCTACTTTCTAATAATTCAGCTAGGTGGTGGTGCGCTGACTAATGTGGTGTGTTGCGTGAAGTTTCCGCCGCTACATTCAACGTACGCATCGTTCGATTCTCATCCCATCCACTCTTTTTGTTGTATTTTTGTTTTATTTATTTTTATTTTGCCTTCATAGTGACAACCAGCAACTGAGAAACTGGTAATTGGTGGCTATTTGCTGCGGAAAAAAGGGACATCGTAATTAAGAATCTTGACGGCGTCTCAAGACGCCCAGCCTCCCGGTTGATGCCCCAGCTGACTTCGCACCTTAGAGAAGCAGACATGGACGCCTTGCAATCACCACATTGCATGCTCGAGCGTTCTAGCACCCGGAAAGCCGTCTGGGAGAGAATTTGAACACCCAGCAAAAGACCCAGGCACAGATGTGAAGAAGAAGACCCCGGATGTTGGTCAGTTCAGACTAGTAGGGCTATGAAGGCACTATCCCCGACAAGAAACTCCCATGACGATGACACAAGGTACTTTGCAGTGCAGGAAGCAGAGAATATTGCAACCCTTTGCTTCTCTTTCTCCTCGCGAGAAGCAATCGTAGACGAGCATGGTCCCGAAATTGACCGGCAAGTGCCAGTGGATCATACACCCCGGCGCGGTCGCCGGCGGCGTGAAATCTGCAGCGCCCGAAACCAGCTCAAAATCACACGGCGGCGACGATTGAAGCTGAATGTGCTTATATGGTGTGGAAAGATGGGCCTTTCTACCTGAGACGAAGACGTTGCGGGCGAACGAGGCAATGTGCTTCGGGCACTGGTGGGGTAGAAACCTTTCGACGTTGGCGAGATCCGTGGGGAATTCGAGAAACCCGGGGACCGTTTGCAAGTAGTCCAGTGACACATGATGGAATAGCCCGTACCATTGTGGTTCGTGAACTAGGCGGATGACCATGGCCTTAATGCAAAAAGATCCTTCGCCCTGGGAATGGCTCGTCAAGCTCGTTACGAATCACCTTGGCGGCCTCGATGATATCCATGAGCTCTTCATGGCCGCGCTATAAGCCAAACAGCTTCTCTTCGCCGTCTCTGGAGGCCACACGTTCCAACTGCAATCGGAAGACAGGTGGGCTGTGACCGGATTGTACCTTTACAATGCAGAGAATGGTGCGGTTGTCGCTGAGCGAGTACAGACCGCCGAAGTTGACGAACTGCTCAAAAGTTAGGTGTTGTCAACCGCGCAGGCTGTGGCGGCCTTGTCATATCGATGTTTGTCACGTCAGTACTCACATTGAACCTGAGATGGCTCTTTTCACGTCGCCAATGATACGACCGGCCATCCCATTCGCCTGCAAACCATCACAAGTAAAAACTGCTTATTGACGCTGGGCTGCCTTGACAGATCGATGTACACGGCTCATCCCAGCCATTGTCTTCCTTCGAGAGCTTCTTAACACCCTTCTAAGATCTGCCGCATTCGCTTTCGAGACGCGGTGCAGATCATAGATCTCCTCCTCTGTCCAAAGCTTGGCGTCGCCGCTTCCCCCTTGGGGTTTCTCGGGCGGGACATCCGGGGCATCTGACATCTGTGGATGAACCGATGGGGGCGTGGGCGGCGTTCGCTTCGAAACAAGGACCCAGCCGTTCGGAGTGACCGAGTCGACTGCCATGGTGTCTCGAGTCTCCTCGCGGGATCTCTTGTAGTCTCCCTCAATCGAACTCTTGGTCTGACGGCCCAATACCCCAAGATTCGGTGGCCAGAATCTCATGGTTAGAGGACAGTGGAGGCGTTCGCAGTAGGGACGACGTCAGATTGGGCCGGTCGAAGCGAGCGACGAGTACTTGGGGCTTGGTAGTGTATCGGCAAGGTCGTGTAAGCTTTCCCTGCGACCGTGGTCAGCTCTTGAATTATCATGGAAGGAACGAGTGAGGTATGTTGCTTACCCTGCTATTAAAGCCGACTCACTGTCCGAGGACAAGACGTAATCATCGGGGTTGGAGAGGTAATTGACGAATTGGAATGCCTGTGGACGGGCGACGAAGGAAAAGGCGAGGAACTGGGTTTATGCAGAAATGAGGCTTTGATGTTGCTGGCGGAAGGTTCGAAAAGTGGGTAGGGACTTGGTTTGTGCGCAAGAACCGAGCCGAGCATAGGTTTCTGGAGAAAAGGTTTTGGTGGAAGGCCGACAGAAGCCATTCATCAAAGGGTACCTTAGTTGGTTGGCGCAACTGCTTCTTTGTGGTCTTGTCACCAGTGTCAACGAACACATAAAAGTGGACCGACGTACATCATGGGGTGTACATTGACCCACATTAATTCCCGTCGACTTCCCCTTGCCACAGTTACCTACATGAGCACGATGATCCTCCTTGTCCATGACCCAAACCCCAATCTCAGATCTGGCAGGTCGGGCTGAGAAAACGCTTCATTCCGGCGGGGGCGGGGGCGGGGGTGGGGGTTCTTCCTTGCGGTGTGAATCCTCCAGGTCCCCAGCGCACCTGCCAGGTCCCCAGCTCAATGCGGACACACCAGTGAAATTCTCAGCTGGAAGGAGCCAACTTCGGCCGGTCGAGATTTCCGCCCGGGTTGCCCTGCCCTGCAATCTTCCGAACACCTCCGTGACTGCCCCCTCCGTTCCGTCTTACTCCTGTTTCTCCCCATGCCCCATGCCTTTTCTCTTTCCCACAAAGAGCAAGGTAAGGTGCGCCACTACAGCAACAGCCCTCCCCGTCCGACCGTGGTTGCCTGGGATTTCGCGATCGCGTTTGCGTTTCTCGTGAGTACGAGCCACGGCATGACAGCACCTGCGCCCGTCGCCTCGGAAAGCGAGGAGAGCGATTGTAGGAAACCATGACTACACCTTTATTAGATGAGGGGAAATCTAGACCATGAGCTTCGCTCGTCACGTCGAGTCCCCGGGCCGTCCCAACCAAATGCCGACCGGAACCCGTC